TGGCTCCCAGGCGCAAAGAAAGTCGTCAAATCAAGAGACGTAGCTTTTTCGAACGAGTACGATACCTCAACGTCGGCTCCAGAAAATCTCGTCGAAAGGGATACGCAAGTCAGGGAGACCAGGAGTGAAATGTCTGTCGATTTGATCAAGATGGAAAGTTTAGTGAAGAACGACAGCGTTTCCCGTGTCGACGCGGCACCCGTAAATCACGTGGAGCCCAACGTTCAGGCTGGACCGATCAATAATGTTGAAATTCATGAATGCATCGACGACGAAGGGAGTCATGATACAAGTATCGAAAACGAACCTCCTCTTCTCGGATTTGAAGTGAGCAACATGAATCCACTCAATACGGCGTGTTCGGACGAAGAAGACTTCAAAGGGTTCGAAATTCCAAAGGCAGTGCCGGCAGAACCGTATGATGGTCACGTTACGCTTCGTCGAAGGATCACAAGCGAAGACGAAAGTGCCATGTGTGCTACTGAGGAAGCCGAACCATATTACGAAACAAGTACAATCCGGACGGTTCAATCAGCTGCAGAAAAGTACGAGTAGTTGCCCAAGGATTTTCACAAATTCCAGGCGTAGACTTCTACGAGACATTCGCACCTGTCGCCAAACTTGACTCCATGCGAATATTGTCTGCTATTGCTGTCACGTTCGGACTGGAACTTCACCAACTAGACGTCGTATCAGCATATCTGAATGGGGAGGTGGATGCCGAACTATACATGAGGCCCCCTACCATGTTAAAAGAGATTCTGGAATCTATCATCGAAACAAGAAATGACAAAAGTCTCATAGACAAAATCAGAGCAATGCTTGACGATCTAAGTGTAGGCAACAAAGTTTGGAAGCTTCATAAAGCGATCTACGGGTTACGTCAAGCTGGAAGACAATGGTACACAAGAATCTGTAAAGTGCTAGAAGAAATAGGTTTCCGACTAACAACTTCAGACCCTTGCCTCTACGTAGACTNATGCTGCTGATTTTTGTGTAAGTGCTAACACATATTTAAGTGCGTGTGTGTGTACGGTGTACACGCGTAAAGTACAGTAGGCTGCAATGTATATATATATAATAGTCTTTTTTTCTTGAAGATTTGTTAAATACTAAAAAAAATTTTTTTTGAGCCACACCCTTGAAACCAGGCACATTTTACTCGTAATGTCATATACTTTGAAAAAAAAAATTAAACACGGGTTTCAGTAAGGGTGTGACACAATATTTTTTAGCTATACATGTATATTCATAGTTTTTATTAAAATTACGAACAAAAACGGGACATTTCTTGTGGTGTTCCTCATATACACGAAAGTCGACTCGCTATGCGTTCACCGATCTTTATAATATCTGTAATCATTGAAACTGTAAATCGCTACATCCATTAAATTAAATTCATGATTTTTTTTCAAAGAATTTTTTTGACATAAAATACTTTATCAACAGTTCGTTACTAGTACACTAATATGGAAATAAACGATCCTATCAGTTTTATATTGCTGTATATTTCTAGTAAAAACATAACTTTAATACTTATATACACTACACGTTAACAATTGGAAAAAATTATTAAGTGGCTTTCGGAGTTCAATGTTACATATGGTTTTTTATTGTTGGTATGTGATATTAGTGTGCCATCATTAATAATTTTTTTCATAATATGGGGCCTTTTAATAATTCGTAATTGCATACTCGTCACTTATAACAACAAAAATGAGATAAGTAATTTTTTTTATGTTATAGTTAAATACAAGTTATTTTTATGTTAAATATGGAAAGTTAGATTTAAATTGAAACTATGCTGTTTTTTTAAATTCTTACAAAAAGAGTAAAATACTAACATATTAATAACAGTACATAAATTTTATTAGTGGCCAATTAGTGATAGCTCATTTAAAGCGTATGCGGCCTGTCAACATATTTTGTATAAAAAACACATCCCGAGAAATAATTATAAAATAATAAACGCGAAAAAATTAATAAAACTGCGTTGTGTCTATAAATAAAATAATTCTGAAACAATAAAAAAACAAAAAAACAAAAAAAAAAGTCTGACATTTGACCTCTGGTCCATTGAATCCAAAATCATTAGTGCTACTACCTGAACTATTGTGAGCGACGACAATCGCAGTATTAAACTTATACATATTCATCGTATGTACGTAAGCTTATCCGTCACATCTTTTAATATTTTTGAAGATTAAACTTTATTTAAATTTAATATTAATAAAGTTATATTTGGTTCTTTTCATCATATTTTTTTTAGTTTCATGAGGAACATTAGGATATAAAAATCGATACAAGTAACAAGTAATGCAGGAAAAAATCAATGGATTTAAATTACATCTAGCTTCGTTAGCACAACAGTCATAAAAAAAGCTTTATTTTTAATGAAACTCATGCGATAATGGATAACTGAGATTTTCTTGAAGGAAACTGATTGTACGTTTTTTTTTTTTTTTATTGTAGATTTAAATCACGGTTAAATCACTGCTAAATCTTAAATCCTTAAATCACATGAGCTTGTAGCCTCACACTACCCCTAAATTTCATCACCACCCCTACCTCTCCACCCCTTACGTTTCTTATTTATTTATGTTTCTTGAAATTTTATGTAATAAATACAATTTTTTTTGTAACATCTTAACAATACTGTGATAGTACGTTAAAAATTTTATTATACCGAATCTGTTTTTTATGACTTATAGATATACATTATTAGTATCTAGTAAAAATTTCATCTATCAATATGAATTCATAAGGATTCACAATTGATATTGTATTATAAAAAATTAAAATATTATGTTTGTCATGAATGTGTACACACACACGTACGTGTGTATGTGTGTGTGTGTACAATATTAATACATCCTATTTTGAGAAGGAACTTTTGTACATGTGGGTCAAGTATATGTATAAAGTCTGTATAGTTATTCAATATTGAAAATGTGTAATAGTTTTACAATAATAGTAATATCGCAATGTATCTTCAACTTCTAGTGATATAATTTTTACAAAAAAACGTAATGCCTCTGTAACAAAAGAGTTATATTTCTTCAACATATTATACGTATGTATCAACACATCCCACAGCAATGACTTTTACCAAAGAAATCCAATATAAAAACCTACACATAAAAAGTTGTTTTAACAGTGTAACATACCGTATGAGTTGTGTATAAAACGTGTAGGCGATCCATACTTCATGAGTGGAATTGAAAAATCATCATACGCTCGCGATACAGTGAAAAGCTGTCCAGACATGCATCAATGGCACTGTCGATTCGGACATCTAAATGCAAGTGACTTATCGCTTATGATAAACAAAGGATGCGTCGAAGGCATAGATCGCGTAAAGTCGCAAGATTTAAGCAAATGTAAGACTTGTGTAGCGGCCAAGATGACTAGCACCCCGTTTCAAGGCCGCACTACAACATCAACAAAACCCTTAGAGGTAGTCCACACAGACGTATGCGGTCCTATGNAATTAATATTGTTACTTTAATACAAGGCAATTCTAAAATTTTTTAATACTAAAATAACTTTTAAGGATTTTAACATAATTTGTGTATTCTAAAACTCCTAAGAAATTGTGAACATCCTATTTACGACAAAAAAAGCCAAAGGCAGAAGAAATCTCATGCTTTTATTACGATTATACCAAATATAATCATTACCAGTAAAGTTCAACTTACATCCCTTCTACACGTGAATATTTAACTACGTACATATATTATATTTTTGTGCTTATACTTACATTCCTTATCAATACCTGGTGGTTATTGCGTTGACGAAATTCGTACTACATAAATATGTACAAACATGGAAGTAGATTCTTTAGTCTTTACAAATAGTGCGTATTTTCGATTAAAGATTCTTACAGAGACTGAACGAAGCTTTTTTTATTCAACACATACTAGTTTCAACCACTTGTAACTCAGAGTATGGTTAAAAAAAAAATTTGTATTCTGTGTAAACAATTAATCTTTTTACCTATAATCAATTGTTATTGTAATTTTTCAGAAATAGTTACCAAAATTTTTGACAGTTGTAACACTGCTTCTTGACCTGAAATAAAATGAGGCGCCGACGCAGCATTAGCAAATTTCGATCGCGTTCGTCACCGTTGTCCCTCTCACTTCTTGGGTTTCTGCTCCTGAAAAAGGGGGATTGGCGCGGGAGTTATCCCGTTCTACGGGGAGAACTAATTTACATACAACAAATCAATACCTTTGACTATTTCTTTATTTAACACACTTAACACTAATACACAGTATCTCTGGTGCTCGACGTGGGGCATGGGATGCCATTTTGTCACACTACCTTTGTACCTGGAAATAAAAAAAAGGGGGGGGGGGACGCAGGAAGTGGATTGCCTCGTCTCGTACGTCCTCCGGGTCCCTCGTCCTCTTGGATTCTGCTCCTGAAACGGGGAGTTTGTACGGGATTTCTCCTCTCGTTCTACCGAGAGGAAATAAATTTGGNCGATGTCGGGGCCCCGTAAAAGAGATAACGTTCGTTCGTTACCAATGCGAAAAGAAAACTCTTGCTAATCTCATTCGTGAGCGAAGACTCGTCAGCCAGGGCGCCACAATGGCTGCGTAAGTCGTTAACTATACTCGATCGAACAGAAAAGCTTCGAACTCACGGGCGTCAGCTAACGCACCGAACACGACGAATCGTGAGAGGTTTTTTAGAGCACCAAGTGCACCTTTTCGCTGCGCAGCAAGAACTGAATCAGAGAGCGCTTTCGGACAGGCTCGGCTTGGCGCTGCCGAAGGCTCCCGAAGTCAGACGCGTATACAGCTGATTCACACACAGGTATACGCCGGCCTCCTTTACTATGTATATAGATTCTTTTTCCCCTACGTTGTGTCTCATTTTTTGCCATAAATACATGCCGTACATTCTCCCCCCCATTGGGAGAGGACACGACCAATTACCACTAATTATTTTTGTATTGTTTACATTTGTTTCTCATTACAATAAAGATAATTTTAATGGTGATCATCACTTTGACTCAAGATTTCAAAGTCCTTTTTAGTGTCAAATAAAGGACATAGTGTCTTTGTATTTCGTAAATATACGCCTTTCTCTGTCTTCACTGAAACCACTCTCACCACTCCGTCGTCTCCTGGATGAACTTCCACTACTCGTCCCATCCGCCACTGCATACAAGGCTCGTTTTTATCGATTACAAGGACTACTGTGTCCTTTTCAATATTCATATCTGGCTTAAACCATTTTTGTCGCTTCTGCAATTCGGTCAAGTATTCGATCTGCCACCTGCGCCAAAAATCTTGTTTGGATTTAGTTATCATTTCCCAGCAAGACAAACGATTATCTGGAACAGAAAATACATTATTCTCCGGCAGCATCGTGAAAGCTCGCCCTATTAGAAAATGAGCTGGAGTTAAGGGTATAGGATCATTTGCGTCCGTCGAGATCGGGCATAGCGGTCGCGAGTTAAGAATAGCCGCGATTTCGTACATGAAAGTCGAGAGAATTTCGTACGTGTACAAACGATCACCGACGACTCGTCTTAGATGATGTTTACATGACTTTACCGCCGCCTCCCACAGACCCCCAAAATGGGGAGACAGCGGTGGGTTGAAGTGCCATTCGATTTTTTGAGCAAGAGCAAAATCTGATACTTGAGACTTAAATCTTTCTGAATCTAAGAGAGCATGTAACTCGCGAAGTCTACTGCTTGCTCCGACGAAATTAGTTCCATTATCGGAATAGACATGGGCCGGCGAACCACGGCAGCTGATGAATCGCTTAAAGGCTGCCAAGAATGCGTCAGTACTAAGGTCACTCACCAGTTCGATATGGACTGCTTTTGATGTCATACATATAAAAATGCACCCATATACTTTAATTTTTCCCTTGTTTCGATGCCTTTTTTTTTTTATGAACATTGGACCGAAGAAATCTACACCCGTGTGATAGAATGGATAAGCGCTACTGACTCGTGATTTTGGCAGATCAGCCATTTTGTAATTGACTGATTTCGCATTGAATCTTTTGCATTTAACGCATTTGAGTACCATATACCGAACCTGATTTTTACCGTCTATGATCCAATATTGCTGTCTGAGGTTGTATAATGTAGACTGAACGCCCGTATGAAAGAATTTTTCGTGACAATGTCTTATTAACAGATCAGTCTAATAATTTCGCGAAGGGAGGAGAATAGGATGTTTTTGGTCGTAATTAGCGTCTGATTTAATTATTCGACCTCCAACTCTAATGATTCCGTTTTTATCAAGGAACGGACTCAAAGCTCCGATTTTTGGGCTTTTGGACCGGTTATCAGCGATAAGGCGATCGAGCTCGTCTTTAAAATAAAATTTTTGAACGAGCTTAACGATACATCTTTCAGCTCTAACGATATCGAAAATTGTCAGGCCGGAGTTTTTAGGGCCGATGTTGTTGCATACTTTCATTTTATCGATAAACCGTAAGCAGTAGGCAATAATATTCTTTAATCGCGTATATGACGAAACTATTGTTGCTACAGGTTTTAAAAAATCGTCCGGCTTTATTTGAGTTGCAAGGCACGATACCCTTTTAAGACCGGGTAACTCGCCTTGAAAAAGGTCGACTGATTTTGGCCAATCCGACATCTGCCGTCGCAGCCACGAAGGTCCTTGAAACCAACTTTCGTTTTTTATAAATTCTCGGGGTAACTGTCCCCTTGAAAGCGCGTCAGCGGGATTATACTCTGTAGTTAAAAAGGCATTGATATCTATTTGTTGAACTCCTCGTTTTGCTCTCCAGTATAGAATAAATGTGTGGATTCGTACAGGGGTACGAGACCAAATGAGAGCTGGGTGAGGAGCAAATAAGAACTCAAAAGTGTCGAAGAATAATCTTGAGCGACGTTTCGTTAGGCTTAATTAGTCCAATCGACGCCGACACCTAAGTGCGAGTGTACCTCTGTATAAAAAGGCTTTTTCTTTTAGTTTAAGAGGACTTTATTCTGCCCGAAAATTTAAAAAGGCTCTTTCTTGACTTTTACTCTTTAACGACTCTTTTTTGCACTCACCCGATGGTTTCATTGTNGCGCCACGCATTATGCAGCACTTGCGACACCGACTCTTTCCACGAAAGTTTATCTAACCAGCATTTTTGCATTATGGTTTTCGCTACAAGAACAACTGGCCCTAATAGTCCGAGAGGATCGAATATTCCTGCTATCTCCGACAAAATGAATTTTTTAGTGATCTTTGTTTAGTCGAACGCGACTAAATCGAGTACCGCCACGTGAGCGGAGGAGTATCGAAGCTCACAGCACGTCCGTCCTCATCAATACATTGAACTACACTTAAATCATTTTAATTTTACACACATTCGTTGCGCGCGTTTATTATTATGCTCTAGTTTCTCGTTCTCTCTCTCCCTTCAAAGCCGACTTATTAGTATATATCGTTTATCTTCGGCATTGTTCGCGTCCTGACGCCCGAATTGACACTCGAGAAGAATAACCTCCGCTAATTGGTGCGCATCATAAGTAACGAAAGGGGGGTCGAGGGAGAGAGAAAGGGCGTCTCTTCTGGGAAAATTCGGTAGGCCTCGTCCAGTCCAATACTTGCCTCTGTACAGAGCGGTCTCCAGTTTTTTTCTGAGAAATCGTGTACGTAGCTTGTCTAGGATAAATTTTGCTCGTTTGAGTTTTTCGAGAAGTTTTTCGTTGCACCGCGACGCATTAACGTGTTTCTGGCATTAATTCTTCTTGTTCGTCCGAATTTAAATCACATCCGCGTGCCGCGTCAACGTTCACCACGTGCTGTGAGCACCCACGGCGAACATCCGCACTCGCGGAACCGTGGTACGAAGACGAGGAAGAGAACAGTGCGGACGCGCACTTACCTTCACAATCTCACACACTTACACCTCCACATCTACACATCAATTCAAACCAGGTTGTAATTCTTGTTGTGTTCAATTTTGTATCGGTCGTTTTTTCCTCTTAGGGGATTTTCTCGCAAGAGTTTCCTCCTTTGAACCACAAATTACATCTTCACCAGTGGCTCATAAGTAGTGTTTTTTTATTTAGTTCAATTCCACCTATCCTATTCTTCGTTTATTAACGTAAGTGCTTTCATAATTAATTTCTTTTTATTTATAGTAAAGGTAGTTTAATAATTTAGCTGTTAAATTGTTGCCCTTAAATTCAGAAACTTGTTCGCATCTTAGTGTTGCTTGTATCGCGTTTTTTATTTTGTATTTTGTATTTGCTTTACGGTTTCCCTCTTTTTAGTTTATTAATAAATTAGATGGCTTCGTTACTTAGACGCAGTCATTAGGGTAGTATAAGACCCCTGTGCTACAATTCAATCTTCTCTTCTACTTCAATGGGTTTTACTGTGAATAAAAGTTCGTCGCTGGAGGCATTCCATGAAATCCCCATCGTTTTATGGATCAAATCTTTATCTGTTAAAAAGTCTAAATCACCCGTTTTTTCTTGAATATTTTTTAACGCTTCTTTCGAGTTAGAAGCCCACTTCCGAATTTCAAAATTACCTCTTTTTAAAATTCCTATAATTTCGTCTTGTAATTTAAGGAGTTCATTAAAATCGTTAGCTCCTCCTAGAAAATCGTCAACATAAAAGTTGTTGATCAGAGCTTCGGCTCCAAGAGGGAATTTTAATTTTTCGTCATTTTCTAGTTGATCTAGAGTTCTAATGACGAGGAATGGCGCGGACGATACTCCGAACGCCACCGTGTTCAATTGATATGTTCTAATTTCGCCTCCATCCAACCAAAACACCCTTTGATACCGGCGATCATCCGGGTGAAGCCATACCTGCCTGTACATCTGAGCGATGTCAGCGGTTACCGCGTACTTATACAAACGAAAACGTGCCAGGTGTACAAATAGTTTAGGTTGGATAGTGGGGCCCGTTAGCAATACGTCATTTAAAGAAATGCCAGTACTCGTTTTTGCTGACGCGTCAAAGACAACGCGCGTTTTTGTGGTCGTACTCGTCGGCTTTATTACTGCTCGATGTGGTAAATAATAATGATTGCCTCCCTGCGGCGATTCATCATTAACCAATGTCATATGACCTAATCTTATATACTCGTTCATTACTTGGTGATATTCGAGCTTAAGCTCTTCGGCATTATTTAACCTTTTTAATAGGCTGACAAATCGCCACAAGGCAGGGGTTCTTGATTCCCCTAAATCAAAGTTTTCCGACTTGAAAGGTAGTCTTACTACGTAACGTTCGGACGGCTCACGTGTCACGCCTTTAATGTAATGAGCTTCGCATTTATCATCTTTTGAGATTTCACTTATTTTCGATTCTGCACTATCAATCAGCCAAAATTTTTCAATCATATTTTTCAATTGAGTTAGATGACAGGAAGCCCATGAATAGCTTTCTCGCGCTTTCGTACCACCAACTGCCGCCCAACCCAACTTTGTTTTTTGCAGAATAACATCAATCCCATCTTCCGATAAATCGATTTGTCCGGACGAGAATAGCGAAAGCGTTGCTCCTGATCCCACAATTATATCCGCCCTCTGAGGTACATGGAACGAAGGGTCAGCTAGCTTTATATTTTTAGGAATGTTAATAGATTCCCGAGGGAATACTTCGTTTGGTACGTAATCCGCGATCTTTGGAATCACAAGGAACGCAAGAGTTTTTTTGAAATTAGTATGTATAGAATATATCGTTATTTCCAATACCCCACTCGTATTAGTTGTCAAGTTATCCACCGCCCCGATCGCTAGCGCGCATGGTTTTGCCTTCAACTTTAAAATTCTAACAAAACTTTCCGAAACAAAGTGTCCGGTCGCACACGTATCCATTAAAGCTCGGCAGACCAAAAATTTACCATCAGAATTTTTGACCCGTACGTGTGCGGTTAGCATTAATTCTGATTGTAAAGCACGTGATGTAAGATCGTTGGTGGAATCTTCCGGTCATGCACTTTTCATAGTTTTCGTGTGGTTTACTTCATTGGAATTCAAACCCTTCCCGAAACTAGTAGAGTCGCGATGTAATTTTGTATTATGGAATTTCGAACATTTTTTACATTTAGGGAAAGCACAAGACTCACTATGTTTGGTCAAGCAGTTTTTGCACACTCCCGTTTTGTTGGCAATTTGCCATCGCTCATCTATGTTAGCTTCAAAAAATGCGCGACATTGATAAAGCGGGTGTCTCCCCTTTTTACATACGGAACAATTAGCTGACGTATCGGTCATTAAAGCGCGAGCCCCCTTTTCAAACTTTCCCCTTTTTGTCGGAACTTGTGGTTTTCCGGAGGGCCCTCTTTTATTGTTATTTTCGGTTTGGGACCGAGAAGCATTTTGCTCGATTGAAAGAAGCCTAAAAGCGGCTTCGGAAACAAATTTACTAATTTCCTTAAGCGTCGGAACTTGATCTAACGCGAGAGATTTTTCCCACTCTACTTGTATACTTTCGGGTAGAGCACGTTCAATAATTCGCACCAATAAATAATCGTCGAGTTTTATATCGAGAGTCGCGAGCATATCAACGTGCTGACGGACATGATTTATCAACTTAGATAATTTACTATGAGACGCTTTGGATAATACTTCAGTTCCGAGTAATTCGTCAAGGTGTTTAGTCATTATAATTCTCTTTCTATCGTAAGCTTCCAAAAGCATGCGCCACGCTGATTTATAATTCTGTTCGCTAGCACCATAGACCGAGATTTTTGTAAGCGCGTCACCAAGGAGACATGTTCGTAGAAGCACAAACTCTTGCAAATCAGAAATCTCAGCTGAATCTACCATAGCGACAAATATGTTTTTGAACGACAACCATTTAGTTACGTCCCCATCGAATTTCGGTAATTCTGCTATCGG